AACCTGTTATTTTCTATTGTAAAATGTCAGACCGGCCTCACCGTGTTTCTGGGTACAATCTGATACTGACACAATGCTAAGCTGATAAGATAGGCCAAACTTCTTGGAATGCTGTTTCTGTGATATCAGCAACCTCCTTACTTACCAGCCCTGGCTGCACTGATGTCTCTGTTACCAAAGTCTTTTAGCCAAGAAGGCAAAAACACCAGGAAAGCTGCATCTATGCAGTCCATCATTGATATGGAATCTCTATTATACAATTTACATCCAGAAAATATAGACTATATAATAGGCTCAATACACAAAGCAAACAAAAGGATAAGGATATTCATTTTCAGCCACGTGACTTTAATTTTCAATTCCACTTGGATTGTCAACTTTTTGAAAAGAAACATCCTTACCTTGGTGAACTGAGGCTCATGTGTGAAATAGACAGCAGTGCTTTCTGGTCAGTGGATAAAGTAATTTGACAAGTTTACAGTTCTCTTTAAAGAAAAGGCTTAATTTTGAATCTCCAAGCTGAAATTAACGTTATATCCATACTGGAGGTAAAATGCATAATGTGATTAAATATTAAGTAGTTAAAATAATTAAATCCCAGAAGCTATATGAAACATTCAGTCATGTCTGCACGGTTATGTGTCTAATGTGTGCATTATTCCTTCTAATGTCTACCTCAAGAAAAGCTCAGACTGGCTACATCACAAAGGAAAACTGGTTCATAGAGATTATTGGAAAATGTTAGATTAGATAAGATTGTTAGAAGATGTTTCAAAAGGTGATATCCTTTGAAGAAATGTTTTAATTCAGATACCCTGCCAGGCCCTGGCCAATGTATATAAGGAGAGCTGCAGAGTACGTGGGTCATTGCATTCCAAAGAAAATTGAGTGTGAGGAACTCTTTTGGGCAACCCATGATTTAGTGAAAATGCTGCTAAACTTGAGGAATATGTAAATCCAACACGAATAAAAGCCTATGCGGGTTTCTTTTCCCATCTATGGAAATTTCCCTTCACTTTCTGACCTATAGACACAACAAGAAGTGAGAGAAAAATTTCTCCAAAGTAAACGGAATTAGAGAGGTGTCACCAAACAAGTGTCCTAACTGGAAGATTTGACCTCTGTTCATGTTTTGGTGACAACTCAAACCTTGGATATTCCCATCTCTATATGCACTGGAGAACAATGGTCACCAAGACAAATAGAGAGGTTGCATCAAAATACCCAAAACAAAAAGGCTTTGGCTTTAGATATACTTTAGAAGTAGTGTGTAGATTGTCACAAATAGACTAGGAGATTGCATCCTATCATGCCCAACCCAAAAAGGAATTACTAATCTTGGATAGAACTTTTATTCTCAATTTCAAAAAAGGTGAAGTTGACCGCAAATAAATTTATAAAAAATGTTGAATTTCTCTAAGAAGTATAACTATATATCTAAGAGATGAAACTGGCTATTGTAGAGCTCCTCCCTTGCACATACTACAATAGAGTGTCCTGATGTTGGCCTGTTCTGTGTTCTGTTCTCCTCTGCGTGAACCTTTAATGAACCATTCTGTGTTCTGACGTAAGTAGCTCATGTGATCCATGCGCGGGCTTCATTCTGATTCATGGTTAATATCACGTGTATTTGCAGTTTGCAAAGCACATTGTTATGAGTAATGAGTTTGAGGAAACAAAGAAAAACGATGAAGGGAATATGAATAAATGAGAACAAAGTAATCTAGAGGCTTCATCTGGTCAGGGAATTTAACACATTCTTGAACATTTGTTGCTAGGGTCTTCTATAAATCTTATTATCACCATTACACTTGCAATACACACACATAAGTAATTCTAAGTAAGCAAAACATTCTCATCAAGCTAGATCAAGCAATTTTCACATTCAACAAAACGAATATCATATTCAACAGTTTTGGAAGATTCCCCAACTCATAAGGCTCAAGATCTCATTGATTAAATACCACACTTAGGCGGAGTGATTTCATCCTCTTCTGTACAGCAGAGAATTAGACCATGTTTATTTCAATACGTTACCTGGATACTAAATTAAGGTGATGACTTTCTTTAGGACACTTTCACCCAGCTATTCTATAAGCACCCACCCACAGAGAATACAGACAGGATCCTTTGGAAGCTCTGATGAGAGAGGAGTTAATGGGGTTCTAGCCTAGTGACCCCCTACCAAAAAAGGGAAAATTACAAGGTGCTGTAGTTCATCCAAAATGGGTCACATAGCCTAGATAAGTTTAGCTATTAGCCTGATTCCACTAAGGGTTTAATAATTAAATATCATTGATGGTCCAGTTAATTAATTCATTAAGTAGGATGTACTAGAAAAGTGGTGATCCCCAATTTGTTTTGTGAATCTGTCTAATTAGGATTGGATGTCTCCACCCCCAGTTTCTTAGATTAAGATTTAATATAGAGTTATGTTGCAGCGCCACCCACTGGCAGATGGTACTGCAGCACAACTAACTAGTAACATTTCATGCTAAAAAGCATGAATGTGCTGCATACAGACCTGGAGCTCCAATTGTTGTTTACAATGGTGGTCGGGGCAGTAGAGAGTTGTTGATGCTACTACACTATATGGCTTAAAGTTTGTGGACACATGTGGGAATGTCTTCACATTCACCCAAAAGAGCAATTGTGAGATCAGGTACAGATGCTGTGTGATAAGACCTGGCTCAAAATTTGTGTTCCAATTCAGCCCTGAAGCAGGGCTTTGTGCAGGCTACTCCCAAGTTCCTTCACACCAAACTTGTCATACCATGTGTTTATGTAACTGGCTTTGTGCATAGGGGGCAGTCATGCTGGAAAAGAAAATAACCTTCCCCTAAACTGTTTCCACAAGGTTGAGGGAACACAGCTGTTTAAAATATCTTTGTGGTGGGAGCAATATTAGTACCCTTCACTGGAAACACCTGAATGCAGTAATTTAGAAGGACATCCACAAACGTTTGGACATATAGGGATTGATTTACTAAAATTGGAGAGTGTAAAATCTGGTGCAGCTCTCCATAGAAACCAAGCAGCTTCCAGGTTTTTTGTCAAAGCTTAATTGAACAAGCTGAAGTTAGAAGCTGATTGGCTACCATGTACAGCTGCACCCGCTTTTTATGCCCTCCAGTTTTAATAAATCAACACCACAGTGTACATGAAGAGATCACAAGCATCAACAGAAAATATACTGCATTTCAGGCACACTGTAATGCATATTAAACTGTGCCTAAAAGACATGATGAGACAGACGAAAGGTCTGTACCAATATTTTTAGGGGTACAGTTCTTATCTACGTTTTTTGGGTGTTTGATGCTGTCTACATCTTTGTTGTGCATTTCCATTATGGTATTGCAAGTAGAATGCACTGTACATGTAGTTAATATCACACTATGACATGAACTAGATTGTACCTAGACCAGTTATTTATGGGCTGTGCTGGATATGTGTACAGCCAGTATAGGCCATGGCCTTAGACAGTAGGGGCAGCACACAGCCAAACATACATCATGTTGCTTAATGTCTCCATACACTTAGTAAACATTAAGCAGCAGAATGTAAAACTGGAGAATGTAAAAATCGGGTGCAGCTGTAAATGGTAGCCAATCAGCTTCTAACTTCAGCTTGTTCAATTAAACTTTGACCGTCAGCCCTACTCTTCAACCAGTTGGTCTATGTATACTGAGGTAGACTGGGAAGACTGTCTCCTTAAACCTCTCGGTGTGTCTTGTGTGGCTATATAATCTGATCTTGTGATTTTAGCGTGGGGTAAAAGGAAAGCAAACAAAACAGTTGGAATAAGAAGGAGGGAAGTATAATTCCTGTCTTGGTTATGGGCCATCCAACTGTGATGAAAATACAATTCTTTGAGTACGATATAAGGATCTACAAATCCCAACATCCGGACAGTGCTACGTTTCTGAACTACATAGATAACAACTTCAGAATTACTAGATCTGTTCAGTAAGGTATTATATGTAGCAATGATGATGTACAAAATTCAGAAACCCACAGCAATCATACCTCACTAAAAAAGAAACAAAAGACTTCTAATGAGAAGTTATGGGTTACTGCATCTTGCATAATGAACATCAGCACTGCAGAAAATAAAGACTTAGTTATCTGCACTGTTTGTATGGTTTCCCTATTTACTCCTATTGTTGTCTGTCCCCATGCTAAAACTAATGTCCTTGGAAAACAAGATCAATGGAAAGACATTAGATGCCATAAAGAACTGTTCAGGCAGTAGCTATGGCAGCATTTCCCTTAACAATAGATCCTGTTCAGTGCAAATTTCAGATGAGTGCTCAGGCTTTACTCAGTCCTTGACATATTCAAGGTTAAAGTGTAATGCCAGCCAATACTTTCTATTTAGCTTTTGATAGAATGGGGAAGAGTTCAAACATGTTTGTATCCTGTCCCCAAGAGCCCTCCCCAAAAGGAAGATTTGCCTCATTCCCTGAAGGGACATCTCTCCAACAAGGGAACAACACAATAATATAGTGGGGGAAGTGTACAACCTCGTCAGCATTCTATTGCAATTTATGTTACTGCTGAAAATCTCATCCTGTCCACAGTGAGATTTCCCCAAAAAGGGACACTGAAAGATATATTAACCCAATAGAGGTTGTAACCCTGAAGGCATACACCTGAGGCCATCTCTCCATATTTCCCTCCCTGGTGGGTTACACTCCTATATCTCTATTACCCTTGCCTTCCCTCAGAGATGAATTTTGCTCATCCCCAGAGGTAGATATTTCCTTTGGCTAAATTTTCTTTCCTTTCTTCTCCCATTCCTAGTTTATCATTCACTCTGAGCTACTGTTTACATATGTAAAAATACTGTTTGGCAACACGTCTGCCACAGTTTTCCACCCAGCAGATTTTAAGTTATGTACGTGGCTATGTTGCAGTGCATTAGCCAAATTTATACTCGTTAATCTGATATTAACCAGAAACTACATAGTGAAAATCATCACACAAATCACATTGCTTACCTCGAGCACAAACGAAGCAGAAGCTCACGTTGACAGCACAGGAAGAGTGACCACTGCGCTTGGAATGGTTGCTGCAAATGATGAGATTACCAGTGAGGATGAGGCTGCCTGCAGCCACACAGTTGTCTCCACTGTGATATGCCACTGGGCATCGTACACAGCGTAACATGCGCCCTGCAAACAGAAAGTCACAATGAAAACCTCATATGTATGCTTTCTACAGCTACTCCTAAAGTGAAATAGCTGTATATAATTTAATTACAGTATAAAGGTTACAGCCGCTTGTGCTTCCTAACGCAAACATATACTTTGCCCATGTAGGTGTGCTTTATTGCCCTTCCCCCCAACAATGAATACTCATGATGGCATTACACAGGTTGATGCATAACCTCTGTCTATAGTGTGGGACCTGACACTTACTGAAATAAACTACATATCCCACAGTCCCTGGGTCTCTCAGTGTAGGTGGAAGCTACACAGTAATTATATCTGACAGACACAAGCAGGCAGAGCTAGGTCACAGACACACACAGAGCTCACTTTCAGTTTGGAGATGATATGTTTCATCACATTAGCATTCCTACATTTATGATGCAACTCAGAGGGGGTGACTAGGCATGCATCGGATGCTGTGTGATCAAAGGAAGTTGTCCTGTCCCTTAGCTAGCTGCAGCAATGCAAGGGAAATAAGGGGATCGATCAGCCATGACACTACAACCTGTTGCCACTAAATGTGAGCTCATCATTAAAAGGTAAGGTGAACATACTACACAGGGCATATAATTACACTAACACCCAGTTAAAACATTTGAATCATTTAAAAGTGTACAATGCCTTTAAAAAAATAGCTGTGCATTTTCAATGAGTATACATTTTTTTAAAGGGTACAATGAATATACATATTTTAGGTTATCAACTATTTGAGTAATTTCTGATGTGAGTTTCACATTTTAAATTCTTGATGGACTATACTTCATGAATATATTTTATTAAAAGAGTTGTCAAGTTTCTAACTACTGTTTATATGCATCAGAAACTCTAAATTCCAACAGAAAAACTGGAAAATACATAGCAAGCCGCATAGGAGGTGCACTGGGATTTATTTACTAAAGCTGGAGAGTGCCAAATCAGGCTCACTTCTGCAAAGAAACCAATCAGTCTCCAGGTTTTACTGCCAAAGCTTAACTGAACAAGCGGAGGTTAAAAGCTGATTGGTTTCTATGCAGAAGTGAGCCTGATTTTTGCACTCTCCAGCTTTAGTAAATAAACTCCCCTTTTTCCAAGCAGCTTAAGAAAGTTGGACTGAGAAAGCAGAGCAATTAAGCCCAGCTATTGGTGCAGCATCACAAAACAGGAAGCACAGCATGCATACATGATGTGTGAATAGTACCGCCTCTATATATTATACATAGTATACTGTATATGTATTAACAAATTAGGCAAGATTTTTTTAAACATACCAAAATACTTTATACTCTGCTAGACACATTTGAATATCCAATAGAATTTTCAAAGAATGTATTTGCAGTTAACCAAAACTGATATTTCAGTTGGAGTTGGCTAGATAAAGTAGAAGTCCATTCAAATCCTATCTAAATGGCTCCCACCCCCATTTTAAGTCCTATACTAACTTCCCTGTAGAGGAAAGATGTCTATAATCACCTATACCCTGGGTGCTCTGGTCCAGTCACATGATCAACTCCCAGCACCAGCTTCAGGGTAGAGGAGGGACAGCTGACAACTGATGCCTCATGGTAAGCCTATGGGTGATGTCACAACATAGGCATTGCAGCCGTACTTGGCGATCTCGCCTCTTCACTAAAGCTAGCCGCTGGGGAGATGACATGACTGGACCGAAGCACCCACGGAATAGGTAAGTACACACATCTTTCTTCTACAGGGTAGTTAGTAGAGGGCTTAGAATGGGGGTGGGAGCAGGTTTAAGTTTAGACTGGACTGTCACTTTAAATCACTCCTGCTAGGATTCCTTTCTCTAGCTCAAAAAAATCTGATTTTTTCTGCTGCACGTTCTATGATACAAAATAAATAAAAACAAAGCCTGAAGTGTCACATACCTACCTAATCCAACATCCCTGAATATAATCAGCACATACACCAGGGCATTTCATAGTGTGAGCATCCAAGGTGCCCAGAATGCCTGGGTGTTTGGGTTTATGGATTAGAATCCTGGTCCTTTTCCTTTTAACTGTATAATCATTACCAGTGACTTATATTTAACTATGTAGTGTGATTATTTACATTGCTAGCAGATGTGAGTCCTAAATTGAGTATTTCTAGTTTGTTTAATAAAGATATATCATATCAAAGTTTTATGCAAGGTGTGAAACTTAGCCTGTGTGTATGCATCGAATGTTGGCAGCAAATGTGTTCTGGGTCTGGAAGAACGCAGGATGGCAAATGTTGCTGGAACCACCTAGAACACAGGTGTCAAACACAAGGCCCGAGGACCAAATCCGGCCCTCTAGGCCATTTCATGTGGCCCTCAGACCTCTCCTGCAGCTGTGGCACTCCATCGCCTTTACCTTGTCTCAGCAGTCAAAGGAAGAGAAGAGGAGAAGAGGAAAGATCTCCTCTGTCAGATCCTGCTATTCTCCATGCAGCCACAGAGAGGCTCATTTCTGCAACCTCCCACCCTTGGTCTCAGCAATTGGCAGCAGGGAGGAGGACAGAACTCCTCCTACAGATCCTGCACACCGCAGCACCTCCTTGTCTCCAACTCCCCTGCAGACTTCAGTAACTGACTCCAGCCCTCCTTTGATCCTCTTCCAGACCCTGCACTTTCTGCTTCCCAGCTCTGCCTCCAGCTTCTTCCTGGCAGCAGCACAAGGTAAAGGGAGTGCACTGTGATGTAAGGGAGGCAGGGGTGCTCTGGACATCTAGTGTTACAGATACAACCAGCCCTTTGAGGGCAACCATAATGCTGATGCGGCCCGCCATAAAATTGAGTTTGACACTGTAGCAATCGTGCACACAGATGGACGCGGCCATCCATCTTGTCAATTATCTTCCATTTTGTATCATCTCTCTCTCCCAAATCAGGCTTCCTCCTCCAATTTCCCCCTTCCCTCAGGAATGTGGTCTGTGTGTGTTTGCTGAGTTCAAAAGGCAACAGGCCCCAGTGGGAGAGCTCCAGGGCTGTAAATCCCACACTAGCTAGGTGCCCCTCTGTCTGCAAGACCCTTGCTGGAGAAGGGGTCATCAAGCCATAAACCGGCCCCTCACTGAGCTTCAAAAGACATTCCAGGTGGTCATATAAACAGACTTACATTTTAAAACCCAGTTTTCCATATAATTTTATATCTCCAAATAGGAAATAATTACGCAAACATGGAACACATATTCGGATGGCTCACTGTAAGACAAGTCGCCGGGTGTATTACACCCCCTATCTGACATACACAGGAGAGCAGAAAATTATATCTCCTTAACCATTAAAGTAGATATTTCATATTTAACCGTTCAGCAGATGATTCTGGGTATTAATCTACTCGTGGATAGAATGTTATATGTACCTAGGAAGTTATTGACCATAGTATAATTTGTGAAGGCTTTGGTAAAAGCATGAACTCCCCGCCTACACAACCCCCTCCCCAAATGAGGCGATTGGTTCTCTGAGTCAGGGAGACACCCTGTGGAGTTCCTAGAAAAGCTAACCTAAGCTGAGTTGAGCTAAGTTGAAGAATTCTCCCTATTTTTACATCGGAACCAACTTTGGGAGAAAACGCCCTTTTTGCTCAGAAAACTTGAAAGCTGCTTAACCCAAGGCTTTTGGCAAGTACTTTATCTATCGCTTTCTGTATATTTAAATATATATTGGCTACATCTTTTTCTGTAAATATTTTTATTGCACCCTTTTGACCTTTTAGTAATAAATCTTACTTTCTGAAAGTGTTGAACTGTTTCTAAAGCTCTTTAATGCAAACTCAGAACCCCTGCCTCTGAAAAGCGCTACTGTGTGTGTGTTTTAAACTTCGGTATATCGCTGCCTGCGGTGAAGTGGTATACCGACGATTATTCACACATCATAGTGTTATTGCTGATATTGCCGAGTTTCCTCTTTCTTTGTACAAAAAGGACAGGTGGTGGCAGTGTGAAGGGTTAATTGCGTAATTAACTTGACCCAGTAACAATCGCGCTCAGGCTGCAGGTACATCGATTGTGGTCCATTAGCTGGAAAATCGTTGTGCAGGGTGCAGCTGGGCGTGGTATTGTTACGCACGTGACAGCGCGGTTTTAGATTGGCTAGTCCTTCGGTCACGAGTTTGGTGAGAAGGGCTGGGGTCTGACGCTGCGATCGTCACAGACACCCCTGACCTAGAGCATGCCTGTATAATAATAAAACACACACACTTTAAACTGTACCAGAAATCTATGCACAAGTTATGCGTGCAGAAAATTAGTCAAATAGCAAGAATCCATTAGAATCAAGTAATGGTGTGGGATCATAAGGAACATGCAGGCTTTTCAGACAAAGGCTGCCAAACTGTCAACTGGCATATAAGCTGGTCATACACTCACAAGGGGGTCTATCTATAAAAGTACAAATTCTGACCATCTTTTGGTTAATCTGTTGATTTCCTATGATTCTCAGCCCCATCCAATGGCCATAATGCAGTATTTTTCTTGAAATACCTCGATCAGGAAAATACTGCATTATGGCCCCTAGATAGAGTTGACAAACACAGGAAATCAATTTAAAGTAGAATACTGTGAGAGCTGACCAAATGCGTGTGACATTTGTCTGGCCATTTATTTTCAAAATAGACCCCTAGGTAATTTAGAGGCAATTCTGTAATCTTTATATTACGCATGGAATGCAATACGCTCTAGAACAGTGGTTGTCAATTTATGAGGTATATGGTGCCTCATCTGGGACCCCTGACATCACCAAAGGGCTGCACATCATATTATGTATATATAATGCTACAGAAGACTGTCAGAGACTGCAGATTTACTAGAGTGAATGGTCAGCAACTGTGAACATACTAGAGGTGTGGTTGGAGACATGCCTTAGGAGTTAGAGATAGGGAACAAGTTACATGAGAGACACTATTACAGCCCCATTACAAAAACAACACACCCACTGCTGACTGCTGGGGCTGTGTGGCAAGCAACAAAGGGCTGAAAATTGGGCAGCAGGGCTCTAGATGCTCCATAAACCTCAATTCACCTTTGGAGGCTCTGAACATGTCCTTGTCAGCACTGCAAGAGGTACAGCAATGGTGTGGGCACCGGAAACCCTTTGAATCGAAGACTGTTGCTGAATACTGGCGGGCACAGGATTCATGGTAAAACTTTCCACATGAAGGGACAGAACAGCGCTTGACACTGGTACTGGGTATCTTGCAAGAGAAACAAGTGTGGAGACCTGTTTAAAACATAAACAAACATTTAAAGGCAGTACATGAAGCATCTGGAACAAGCATTTCAAATGTTGCTGAGAAAAAAAAACTTTTCCTTAGGTGAACCTCGCATAATAGGCATAAAAGATTTAAAAACTGAATTCCAGGCAAACAACAAATACGCCAGTTCAGAGCTCAGTCTGGGAAAAGCCGGAAACAGCCCATGGAGGCAAACAGTTATGCTGCAATGCTCAGGCTAACAAGCTACATGCTGATAGGAAGAGTTTAGAGTGACAGAAAGCTGGGCTCATGAGTTTGCTGCTAGGGCAGTGACAAGACCTAGATGACATGAAGTCAAGAAAAGGTCTGCTAGCTGTGCAGTGTGGAAGGGATGTGTAAATCTGACAGACATGAATGAAATACATAAGTAAATGAAATGACAGAAATAAACATTCTTAGTCAGGCAAAACAGCACTCATTTATATATCCATATTTATAGTTTGCCTGAAGTTCAGCCTAAAGTGAGGTTAGCTTATACAGTATGGTCGCTTTCACACAGGCGTTCTGTATGTCCATTTTTCATCTGTCCATTTACAGATGAAAAATGGAAACCTATGTATATCTATGGACTAGCGGATGTAAACGGATGATCATCTGTATACATCCATTAACCACTTGCCCTCCTGAGGATTTACCCCCCTTAATGACCAGGCCTCTTTTTGCTACTTGGCGCTGCACTAATTCAACTGATAATTGTGCGGTCATGCAATGCTGCACCCAAACGAAATTTACGTCCTTTTTTTCACACAAATAGAGCTTTCTTTTGGTGGTATTTGATCACCTGTGCGCTTTTTTATTTTCACGCTATAAACAAAAAAAGGCCAAAAATTTTGAAGAAAAACAATATTTTTTACTTTCAGCTATAAAAAATATATAGTAAACTCAAAGTTGGTTATAAATTTAGGCCAAAATGTATTCTGCTACATGTTTTTGGTAAAAAAAATCCCAACAAGTGTATATTGATTTCTTTGTGTGGAAGTTAGAGCGTCTACAAACTATGGTATAGATACTGCAATTTACGCCATTTTTCTGCTATACAGCGCTGCACTAGTTTAACGGACAATTGCGTGGTCATGCAATACGGTACATAAATGAAATGTACATCCTTTTTTTCCCCACAAATTGAGCTTTCTTTCGGTGGTATTTGATCGCCTTTTATTTTTTGCGCTATAAAAAAAAAAAAGGCTGACAATTTTGAGGAAAAAAAAAAAATATTTTGGACTTTTTGCTATAAAACATGTCCAGTAAAAAAAAAAAATGCAAAAATCAAATTTAGTCATAAATTTCTGCCAAAATGCATTCTGCGACATGTCTTTGCTAAAAAAAAACCCCAATACGTGTAAATTAATTGGTTTACGTGAAAGTTATAGCATTTACAAATGGCGGGAAAGATACTGGAATTTTTAATTTTTATTTATACTAATAATGGCACCGATCAGCGACATATGGCGGCAATCAGCGACATTTGACAGCGACCAGCGACTTATTGCGGGACTGCGGGACTGCGGCGGACATTTTGACACTGGGGGGGGAGCTGACTTGGGGTCACTGACATGTCAGTGACACCAATACAGTGATCAGTGAAAAAAAAAAACACTGAAACTGTACTAATGTCACTGGGGAGGAAGGGGTTAACATTTTTAGAGTTTAGTGTGTGAAGGGAGTGTTTTACTAGGGGGGGGGGGGTGTACTGGACGGGGGGAGGGAGGGGGGAGCTGATTGAGGGAGAGAAACTGTTCTCTCCCTCTGCAGCTTGGCGGCGAACTGTCACAGAGCAGGCTGTGTGTAAACAATGCAGCCCTGCTCTGTGTCAGTGTTCACCGCTCATTGCGGGAAAACGGCCGGTAAAAAAAACCGGCCGTGACCCAGCGGCGGAGACCCGCTGCTGACACCCGCGGGACAGGTAGGGCGGGCGCGCGCGCCTCGCACGCGCCCCCTACCTGTTTTGTAGGCACACGTTTTAAAACGTTAACCGTTTCCGGTCCGCCCTATAGCAGAAATACTGCTACGGGGTGGCACGGGTGCACAAAATCTTGTACATATGTGATTTTGCATCTCCGGGTAGGGGGCACGCTCGAGCCCTACCCGCGCTGCCATTCGCTGTCGCGGCTCTCAATCACCGGGTCCTGGCCGGTGATTGCTCGCCGGTGCCCGGTGATCTCCGATGGCAAACAAAACAGTTCTCCTCCCTGTCAGCTCGTGCACACTGCTTTCCATAGTAGTGCACAGCACAGCCATAAAAAGCAGTGTGCTTAGAGTGAAGCACAAACACAGCCCCTTAGTAAAACATACCCAGTACATAGTTAACCCTTTGATCGCTCCTCATGTTAACCCCTTCCTGCCCAGTGCTATCAGTACAGTGTCAGTATTTTTTTTTAGCACTGATCACTGTATTGGTGTCACTTAGGATGTCAGTGACACCAAGTCAGTTTCTCCAAGTGTCAGAATGCCCACCGCAGTCCCGCTTTAAGTCACTGACCGCCGCCATTACTCGTAAAACTTAAAAAAAAAATTTGCAGTATATATACCGCCATGTGTAAACGATATAACTTTCACTTAAACCAATTAATTTACACGTATTGGGATTTGTTTTAGTAAAGACATGTAGCAGAATATATTTTGTCCTAAATTTATGACAAAAATTGTTTTTTTTACTGGATATGCTTAATAGCAAAAAGTCAAAAATATAGTTTTTTCTCAAAATTGTCAGTCTTTTTTTTTTCTATAGCGCAAAAAAATAAAAACCACACAGGCGATCAAATATCACCGAAAGAAAGCTCAATTCGTGGGAAAAAAAGGACGTAAATTTAATTTGGGTGTAGCGTTGCATAACCGTGCAATTGTCAGTTAAAGTAAAGCAGCGCTTTAATGCAAAAAAATGACTTGGTCAGGAAGGGGGGGGGGTAAATCCTTAGCAGGGCAAGTGGTTAACATCCATTTTTATATACTGTATATATAAAAAATCATCCTTTCTTTGTTAAAACATTACTCAGAACCACCAAACATTATATATTTTTAAGCAGAGGCCCTAGAGAATAAAATGGTGGCTTTTGCAATTTTTTATGTCACATGCTATTTGCACAATGGTTTATCAAACACATATATTTCGGAAAAAAAAACACTAATGAAATTCAGTACACACAAACAAATTATAATACCCAATTTTTGGGAAAATATAAAAGTCATGCTTTAAACTTGTGCACACCTGGAAGTGGAACAGTGACAGTGACACACTACATACATTTAATGATATATTACCCATAGGTTACGCTTTTCAGGAATTACACCTCTGGGTGGATTGAGCACTGGGTTTGGAAATTCACACATTAACCACTTGCCTACTGGGCACTTTTACCCCCTTCCTGCCCAGGCCAATGTTCAGCTTTCAGCGCTGTCACACTTTGAATGACAATTGCGCAGTCATGCAACACTGCACCAATATGACATTTTTATCATTTTTTTTCACACAAATAGAGATTTCTTTTGGTGGTATTTATTCACCACTGGGTTTTTTAGTTTTTTGCACTATAAATGAAAAAATAAGTTATTCTCATTTCTGTTACAACAGTTTGCAAATAAATAATCTTTCTACACAAATGTAGGCCAAAATGTATTCTGCTTCATGTCTTTGGAGAAACTAACCCAAATCAGTGTTTATTATTTAGTTGGTAGAAAAGTTATAGACTCCACAAACTATGGTACATATCAAAAATTGATAAATCCTGATGTACTGATGGCTGATCTCATTTCTTGAGGGTCAAAAACACCAGGACAGTACAAATACTCCTAAAATTACCGCTTTTTGGAAAGTAGACAGTCTGAGGTATTTAGTAATAGGCATGGTGAGTTTTTTTAAGTTGTTATTTTTTTCTCATAATTTTGTGGAAAGTTAGGAAATAAAAAAAAAAATTTCACAACTTTTTTTTTTCATATACTATCACCAATTCAGTACAGCATCATCATATGACTGGCGTGGCGGTGATCAGGGACACTGACAGGCAACAGCATGTAAAAAAAAAAATTATTTTTCTACTCCTGTGACCTGAGTAACATAATTTTACCATTGCACTACTCTGGGCAAGCGATCAGAATTTTTTTTTCTACACTTTATGATTGTTTATACCAACAAATTACATTGGTATAAACAAGCATTTTTACTGAATGAAACTGATTCATTCAGTAGTTTTTGTAGTGATCAGTTGTGATTGGCCATAGCTGATCACATGCTACAGATGGGCTGCTACAGATGTACATGTGATCACTGTGACCAATCACAGCTCGCAGCACAGTTGTAAGCATGAAAGGAAGCCATACATTGTTTACAACTGTCATGTGATCTGCTGTGATTGGTCACAGCGATCACATGATACTGGCAGAGGGTTGGTGTAGTGATATGTACCATGGACACAGCCGGTGACAGATCATGCCCGTGGGGCGCGTGCGATGTGCGTTACTGGGAGGACGTCATATGACGTCCTCCCAGGATAAAAGGGCTCTCACTCGACCATCATTGTAAAATAGGCCGGGTGGGAAGAAGTTAATAAGGCAATTAAAAATCTAATTCTTCATGTGTTTGCTAGGTAACTTTTTGGATGTTGGAGATTACGTTTGTGTTAGAGCTGAAGGGGGAGGGTCTGCTTTAATTACAAGAGTTCTTTCTTCAAAGCAATAAAAAAATTTAAAAAAACAAACAAAAAGAATCAACTTTATAGCATGACTCTAAGCATAATATGAAGCATCCCCCTGATAAAGGACTTTCAAATGATATACAAACTTTGTTTAAAGGGAATGTATAATGAGTTGTTACAATGGTAAGACCAAGAAAAAAACAAATGTATTCTTTTTGGACAGATAAATCTAAAATATTACAAATGAATATTTTATATTTTTAAAGGCAGCATGTAGCACTTTAGGTGACTTTTCACATATTTTCTGTGTTTATTTCCTGTTGAAAAAAAAGCCTGTTTTTACAGAGCTCAATAGCTCAAGCTAAAATTTACAAACACAAGTAAAGGAACAAGAGCAGCAATTTTCCTTCCTCTGATCAAGGTTTCAATCAGACAGAGAAAGTCCAAAGGCAGACAGTTTCTGTTGTGCTCTTGTTTTAGATAACCCATAGTGTTCTGGGACTCCTTTGACATGTATAATTGTGTGTAAAACAAAAAAAGTCAAAAATAAATATAAAATATAAGTAATTTTCATGGATGTGCAGTGTGGCAGAGGTGTGTAAATCACAAGATTAGAAAAAAATGTAGAAATGTTATGGCAGTGAAACAATAAACTATAACCATGTCTATTTCTACTGTGTATTTAGCAGTGTTGATATCACTTTAAGACAGGGTCAGAGATATGGACATACCGGTTTTGCACTCCATGCAGATAAATTTCCCATCTGGCAGTGCATCCATGCCCAGACACTCAAGATGGAAGAGACGAGAGCAGTCCCCATCGCAAGACACCAGCGACTCCCCAAAACTTTCACAGATCTGGAAAGGTTATTTTTAGGTTACTTCTGCTAGGTCTGCCATCAAGATTTAAAAGGTATACTGCATAGACAAAAGTGAATACACACAACAATTCATACTTCATTGTACAGTATTTACCTATGCTTTTATTTAAAGTAAGTGTGAACTCAATTTTTTTTTATTCTTTTTAGATGACAAACAGGCTTATACTTACCTGCTTTGTGCAATGGAATTGCACAGAGTGGCCCCGATCCTCCCCTTCTTGGATCCCCTTGCCGTCACTCCTGGCTCTTCTTGGTGTACCCCCATAGCAAGCTGCTTGTTATGGGAGCACTCCTGTGGGCTTACTCCCGAGCTGCGATGCCTGAATCTATTGACACACACAGCTCATGTCTTGGCCCTGCCTCCCCCCTCAGAATTTGATTAACAGCAGCGGGATCCAAAGGCTCCCACAGCTCTCACCCAAGCCTGTGACAGCAGGGAGAAGGGAGAGACAGGCAGATAAGTATAAGGGGGTGAGGGGGAAAACTGCTTCCTAAACATTTTTTACTTCAATGCATTTCTTGCTTTAGAACCACTTTAAGATGCCATAAACCTGTACTAACATACAGCATTTTTTTCCACAAGGCATAGAATTATCCCTACATATAGGGTTGTTTGGAAAAGGATAGGTGAATTTGTGTCAGTTATTTTGCTGGGCATGTTTTTGGGTCGGACGAAAAGCCACCTTCACTTTCATGGTGAACAGCCACTAATTAAAGTATAACTAAAGACAAAACTTTCTTTTTTAGTTTTATATAGAGCGGAGAGGGATTAGAACGCTTGTCAGTTTTTAAGTAACAGAAAACCCCACATTTTTGGGCTGTCCCCAGAAAAGTAATAGTGGAGGAATCTTCCAATGGGGACACTAGTTCTAGTGACCTGGGGGTCCCCAAGGAAATCCCTTAATTTGGAGGGATTTTCTCTCACTTCCTGTTTGGCTATGGGTCAGGAAGTGAAGGTACATCTCTGCTATGGGGACACAGATGATGAAAAAAAATCTGATAGGGGTTATAACCCTCCCTTAGAAACAAAGAAAAGTGACGGCAGAAAAACACTGAGTGGTCCATCGAGTCTGCCCATTTTTTTGTGGGGGTGGGGTTGGGTTTTTTTGTTGTTTTTTCTTTTTACTTTTTTGCTCTATCCAGAATGAAAAAAAAAGTTTTGCCTATAGTTCTACTTTAAATCTGTTTTTTTATAGACTGAGATGGAGACTATTAACTGGAACTCAATGAACAAACAACGATATGAATGTGGAAACTTTATATTAAACCAACTTTGCCACCAAACAGTGAAAAAAAAAAACTTGTAAAGAAAGAGTTAAAGCTCAACTCTGGCATTTAATGCGTCATAAAAATGTGGCCTTCTGTTTTGTCAAGAAGACAATCAAACTTTGACGGAAACTTACCTTATGTCAGATTCCCACAGATTTATCCCTCAATGCTCCCTGTATTGATGAATGGTCCCCTGAACTCTCTCTTTTTACTAGTCTGTGACCAGTCCTGTCGCCATCCCTATTGCTCAGGTCATTACGCACAGTGCAGGGCCAGAGACCACAGCTGATTCTGCATTGTACGTGATGACATTAAAGTACCTGCTGATATTTAGGGGTGAGGGAGAAGAGAAATGGCAGGGCCAGCTGCTGCACTACCAAGGACTAAGGTAAGCAATACTCTGTTAGATCACCTTTTCATAAGACACGTTTTATATTCTGCATAACGAGAGAGAAGAAGAGGCCAAATTGTTAGCATTTATTAAGTGCCCAAAGTTTTGCTTTAATACTTACCTGTCATACCGCCCACTCCTTCTATCTTGTGGGCTTAAAGTGCTACTAAACTCAGGACCCTGCATTAACTATATCTGGTCTTCCACAGTACAAAAAACATGTAAATGCAATAATTTAGTAAATATTAATTGCTAAATACGTTTTCTCATCAGCAGTCTTGTGACTTCTATCAGTGTCCAGCTGAGCACTGTTTAAAGCTTGTAGGAGGAGTTTTCATTCTCCTCCGACTGTCCTATGGGGCTGCATGACCCCTGACCCTCTGCCTGGACAGTGCTGCTTGGCCCTGTGCCAATCACATGCACCCTCTCTAAAGCAGTGAGTATAACAAGCATGTTCTACTGCATATACAGACTGATTTTACTGTTGTGGGTTTAGTAACACTTTAAGTGATGTAGCAGTTGGCAGATGGAACCACAGAACACAGTGGGTGACCAGATATCCAATATATTTGGGGATTCTTATGTCACCATAGCTATTCAAAAAACTGAAGATCTGCGTTGCAAGTGCCAGGGCAGGAACAGTATTAACTCCTTGGTTTAAAGGGAGCATTTTTTCATTTTTTTCTCTCCCTGAAGTGAGTCAGATGCTAAAAAGGTTTTTCAGCTGCGACAACTCTACCAGAGGCCAGGGATTTAAGAATTTACTTAGTTACTGTTAGTGAATTGATGAATCAATAAAATAACTAAAGCAGACTTATCCATAAATATAATCTTAAATCTATGCTAAAAATGGTGCTGAGGTAGATAAGGATTACACAAAAACTGACATATTTTTCCTGAAAAACAGGCTGCTCTGTTTCCTCCTGGTCAGGTCAGGGAATTTAAAAAGCTTTGGCTGAGGGAAGGTACAGACAATCCTAACTCTGCTCCTCCATTTCAACACAGACCACATGACTAAAGGCCTGAGATTTTCATTATGTAAGAAGCACTAAAGGAAGCCTCAAAGAGCTTTTTTCGCAAAAAAAAAAAAAGTATATCAGCCTATTTCTTGTAATGTATCTTTTTCAACTGGTTATATATCATATCTAAAGATTGTGTTGACATATGGTATTCACAGGAGGTATCCACTGCTTATGCATTTTTCATCATATGCTCACTTTGAACTCACTTGTCATAGACACACATGCATATATATATATATATATATATCTATCCAAACATTAGAAAAAGCATGCAAGAAAATAAAGAAATGGGGGCTGCACACCAATCATTTGTCAGTCCTCAAAATAGTTTTACAGGAACAAGAGAGAGGATGCTCACCCTGCTAGCTTCCTCTGACTTTTGCCCCCCCCCCCAGTGGGGCTTAACCATAACTCTACAATTGAGCTCCATCAGTGGACAAAACAAGTCATAGGAAGACAGCAGGGGGAGTATCATTTCTGCTTGTTCTAATATTGCTACTTTGAAGGCTGATGGATCACCAGCGCTTAGCCCTCACCCAGTGGTGTATTTAGGTTTTGTGCTGCCCTAGGCAACACAAAAATTGGACGCCCCCATCTATCTCTGGCGGAGAGAGCCTGACAGTGACCAACAACCCCCCCCCCCCCCCTCCGGTGACTCTAGCCATCCCCAGGAACGACATTTGGGCTCTGCGTACACCATCAAGCAGCCCACAGCCTCTCAGGGATCTCACCTGGTCCCCATGCAGCATTTGTCTTTTCTTCAGGGGGGCACTGCTAAAAAATGCCGCCCTAGGCAAATGCCTTGTTTGCCTTGTGGTAAATACGCCCCTGCCCTCACGTACTTTGCTTGCTTATGTTTGTTGTGTGAGACAAAGCCTATAGAGGATTTGGCACTCAAGGTTGGAATAATGGGGCCAAGTGTGGGAGTGCTGGAGCAGTGCTATCTATTGATAATGCACACACTGTGTTGTGTTGCCTTGAGAAAAAAGATCAGGTACGTTTTTTGTGCATGTATGTGTGTTGAGCATCCATAGCAAACGAATGAGCACAGGTGCCAAGACCTGCGTGAAAAGAAAAAGCAATGTAAATTCTTATGTGTAATTGAGCCTTAAACAATTTTTATTTCCTTTAAAGAAGGGTTTATATAACCAACAGAAATGTGTTTCAGCAATTATTCACTTAGAATAGTAATCCACTGCCTGTAGAGCAGTGGTAATCCACATCTTGATGAGCTCCTGCTGCTTATACAGCAGTGGGAGCGCTACAAAAAATCCCAGTAAAGACAGAGCACTGTGTTTTTAAAAAGAAGAAATAAATATTTCACCTGTCTTGTTGTAGACAGAAGAGGTACACATATTTTGTAAGTGGTCTCCCAGTTTGGGAAACGCTGTTAGCTCTTTGTAGGACTTTAATTCCACGTATTATGTGATTCCTTACAAACCAAGCAGCTTCCATACATACCTGGCACACTGTGTCTCTCTTGCTTGACCACCGAGATACACTGGAATCTACAGACTGAACATCAGAGGCATCCGCGTCTGCATTGGCCGATGGGCTGTCCGGTTGCTTATCAAAGCAGATCTGTGTTCAGAAGACCAGGCATTACAGAAAGCATAATCCACAGCTCATATGTGTACATGTAGTAAATGTAGAAACAAACAGGGACATTTGGGACTAGATCACCAATAAAAAGCTGTCTATAAAATAATTAGAGTAGTTAGCCATGTCAATGACATTTCTTGCGGCATGCTATGATAAGAATCTGGCTAGTTGCAGTTTTTTTTTCCCTCACTTGTCTTTAATCTAGTTTTTGTGAACAATACATGCACACAAAATGCAAAACACAAAAGGTTCTATTGCTTACATTTTTTTGAATAAAACATTGGCACTTCCCCATCAAGCAATCACCATGCTTGCTACTCTCTCATATAGACCCATGTTTGCCATCAGAGCTCATTTAGTTGGATATTTTCCTCCTCATGGCCTGGATTTTGGAGGGAGTGCTGCTGCTCTTAATTACAAAGCTATGTAAAGAGAATTATACCAGCTTATTCATTAAGGCAGGACAAAGAGCCAGGTGAAAGTGCAAAGTACAGCAACTCACTGTAACATCTTTACCAGAAAGAAGGCAGCATAAAGTGCTAGGTCATAACTGCCTATTTTACTTCAGCAACATCTGAAGTTCCCATAAAGTCTGATTCACTTTTTCACAATGAAGAACTGGCAAGTTTTTGCTGTAAAATTTAAGGATGAATTACCTCAGAGCGCCTTAAGCTACAGAGATCAGTGAGTGCTTGTTTTAAAGCTCATTTACTGCTTGTTAAGAATATGTTAATCTTTGAATGTGTATTATCTAGCAACAGCTCTACTTTAAGGACATCATTCAAACAACTTGAATATGGACATTATTGGAGTGCATATATTATGCTTAGGAATTTTTATTAATGAATGCTAACCCAGCAATTCTGCACTGTCTCTCTGTTTGCCTGGAATGCCTAACACATTTTCAGGAAAAGACGGGCCAAAATAGGCTTCTGTAGGTTACTTTTGCAATCTATGAGGTACAAGTAAGACGGGGAACTCACCTGTGCATCGTTTAGGCCACGGGAGTCAGAGTCTGAAGCATCACGGTAGGAGGAATTTGCAAGCTCCACATCGGTGGAGGCACGGCTTCTCTTCTTCAGGGGCTTGCATGCATCAGAGATCTCACTGGCCCCTTGAAACAAGGAGCGTCAGGATTCACAAACACACCACGTGGTAAGTACCATTAGTTTCAATGATGGTAGATGCAGACATGTGGTAAAAGTGAATGCTAAGTGATTTTTGTACCTTCTAGAGGTAATAATTTAAAAAAGTGTATAAATTCAGAGCACCGCGTGTCGGCTAGTATGCTTGCACTAGGGACACTCTAGACACAATTCTATCAGTGCAGTGTAACTAATATAAAGACCTGAACATTGGGGTATGATGTTACTGGTCTGCAGTGGACATTGTAGACAGCAGCTCCATTGTCAGACAGACTCACCTTTCTGCAACCCAATCTGTACCGCTGTTAGAGGGGTGTCTTCCACCTGTCCATGAAAACAGACAAGAATAAACTAATACAAAAAACAGCATGTATACCTTTGGTTGTCTTTAAAATAAACTTTAAATTAGATAATTTAACATAAACTTAAGGGAGTTTGGTCCCAGCATACTCTTTCATTTTAAAATATCAGCATTGTATTAGTAATACAAGCAATGTTATTGTGACAGTCCGATATAAGCTTACTTGAACTTGTTAGTTCTGCCTGTCTGCTAGCCATCTCTTTTCACAAATTCCAGGATTCCCTGCATGCTTTGCAGCTTCTCCTCTGCTATATATTTCAATTTCTGAGGACTACATATCCCATTGTACTTTGCTGCTTGCAATCTATGATTCCTGTACTGACTTCATCTCCTGAATCTCCTCCTTTCAGTACCTCTATAGTTCAAAAGGCAGGCTGTGTGAATTCTGTGGCAGAAGTGCCTACTAACAAGGCATAGTACATACATGTCACAGAATTCAAGACAGGAAATGTGTGGGGATCTTCACAAAATAAGTTTACAAACTTCAAGATTGTTCGGAATAATAGGGGTAGGCTAGAAACAATCAGGATTCAATATGGAAATAAAATATTTTACATTTTGGCCATGGGTATGATTTAATGATATGTTCATACAATGCAGTCAAGAGGTCATGAATAGATCTTTTTGCTAAGGATCCATCCTTCCTATAAGCCTGCATTTCCAAATTATCAGTAGGTGTGACCATACTAGTCCATTTTTATTTGCACTTTCAAAAGGATGTCCAATAAGGGAAAAAAAAAAGTAAACCATCAAAATTCAAAAATTAAGATTATCAGCATACACTGACAGAAAAACAAATTCTTGTTTCTTTCACATCAATCTGTAACCAACAAATAAAAAAAAACCACACACACACACATCACACACACAATAGAAAAACAGCCAAAAATGAATTGTGTGTTGGATGGGGAATGAAAAATCCTAAAAGCCAGATAGGCAGAAAAAAGGAAGGTAACAGTCCTTTCTACTTATGTTGACGGAACTTATGTTCCCCGGCAGCTCTGTATCCTATGAATTCTGTATACAACTGTCAACACCTGTGTGTGTTAGCTGTGTAGGTTACTCTATGCTCTTATTTTACACAGCTACATGAAAGCATGTACATTTTCAAAGAAAACAAACTCATTTAACTTCTGAGACCTTTGAAGGATGGTCCTTAGAAGGATCACCTAGAGGTCAGTGTCACCTCTGGACAATAGATGTCCTAGTACAATTGACATGTGAATTATCAGTATTACTGTAGGAATTTTAACAGTCATGGACACAAGTTTACTTTTCTTGTGAGGTTTTCATCAGTCACAAGATTATGAAAGTTTTGAAGGCATCTTGAGCGCATGGGTCAAAGCTGTATTTAGCCACATGTGCAGTATTATATTTAACGTTATGGAAAAGGAAAGCCATTGTCATATATGCTCTGCAATGGCGAAAGGGCAGAACTAGGTCATGAAAGACATTCTCACATGATGAATACTGTTTGGATGAAAGGAAAGCCACACAAGTCTACAAAATAAACTTCTCACAGCTCACCCTTGTATTCACTGATGACTGCAAACATGTGCTCTTGTAAGTGACCGTTTATGTTTTACAATACTAACTTATGCTGACTGCAGCAAAGAAGACTGGTTGGGCGATTCAGTGATAAATTGGACAGACAAACACAAAGCACAACTATACAAGGACATATTTAAACAGATACCACATCATAATCCACATTTTCCTTTGTTTGCCAATTTTTATTAAGAAATTGTATATTGAGGGGTCTATTTGTATGCTTGCTGTTGCTCTTCAGTGGCCCTGTAGATTCCAGATGACATGCGTGAGTGTGAGTATTTAGCTGTCTGTAAGTCATGCCATCACCAGCAACATGCATCTGACTTTCGATAAAAGGCACCCACATACAGTACGTGTTTTATTATGTGTGTGCGCCAAAGGGATGGTAACTGTTTGGCTTCTTTCCACCCACCTGCTCTTTCTTCACCTTCTTCTTTGGCAAAGAGTCCAGGGACTTCTCAGATTCTGAACGAGTCCGATTAGACCTTCTCTGGTGTTTCTTCTCTGAGCTCCCTGGTAAAGAAAAACTTTGTTGTGCATTAATCCAGTATTGGGTCAGCCCCTAGCAAGGCTGTAATGACCCACATTATGCTACTAGCGTCTCTTAAATACTTTTGTCAGTAACATATTATACAGAAGAATTGAATAATAAACCACTGTATCCAGCACTCCCCTTTTCCCCCAAATTCAAGCTGAACTCCAGGCAAACCACTACATACACTAATAAAATACATCTATTGTAACTGTTTTACATTACATACAGTTCTGAGAGTTACACAGGTCTTGTCCCTTCCTCAGCTTGTGACTGGACAGAAGAAGTAGAATGATGAGCTCATCTTCTTGTCTCTCTGCTCTCTCTTCTACTATCAGGGTGCTCATTGTTAGCACCAAAGCACTGCTGCACAAATGACTGGCACTTTGTGCTGCTTCTCCCTCTCCAAGTATGGGCTCTCCTGTACAGGGTCTGCAAGAGGCTCATACCAGGTAGAATTCAAGGCACTTCTACTTACTGAATTTAAAAAAAAAACAATTTAATGCTGTAATAATGAATACAGGGTTGCATTAATCTGTGTCAGTTATATCTTCCTGAAGTTTAGCTTTAAAGTAGAAGTCCAGTCCAATGCTATCAAAACTTAAACCTGCTCCCATCCACATTCTAAGTCCTATACTAACTGCCCTGTAAAGGAAAGATGTGTATACTTACCTATTCTGAAGGCACTCTGATGTAGTCATGTGACCTCCGCAGCAGCCGTCTTCGGTAAAGAGGAGAGGTCACCAACAACAGCTGCAATGCCTATGCAGTGACGTCACCCATTGGCTTACTGTAAGGCATCTGTTGGCCGTCCCTCCTCTACACTGAAGCCAGCCTTCAGAATAGATACATACAAACATCTTTTCTTGACAGGGTAGTTAGTATAGGGATTAGAAGGGGGGTGGGAGTAGGTTAAAGTATAGACAGTACAGTGTTTGACTGGTTTTCTACTTCAAGTATGATATGCTAAACCATATCACTTTCTAAATATTAACTTATTTTTTTAATAAATACATTCTAAAATCATTTTTCAATACATCATATACCCATTGTCACACTTTCTTAAAAAAAATCACAGTAAGTAACTGTTTCTGTAAAAGGACATCAGAAAAGGGTTATTGCCAAATGGTGTCTTCTTTCTTCCTTTTTTTAGACTTATCCTTAGATAAAATATTACTTACATTACACTGCCATCTCCAGTTTCAAGTACTGCAGGTAACAGGAAAACTTTCTCTGTATTGTGGTCTGTTCTGTATTTACAATCAGATTAAACACATTTTAAAATGACACTAAACTCTGGTTTAATTACATACATCCCCCAAAAGTACCTTCTATTGCTCTCAGCCTCCTCCAAATTTCTTTTTTTTTTTTCTGTTGTGATCTGACCTTCTGTTAGAGGGCGGCTACTTTCCTTTTCCATAGTCCCACTGTATGTAGGAACGTAGACACCCTCTCTTACTTGCTCTTGAGATGGACGATAGGATTTGTAGCGTACATAAAGCCGTGTACCTGACCACAACTAACGTGCACTGCTTGTTCCAAACAAACTGAAGTTAGGGTGAAAAGGAGAGGGTTTGGGAGCTCACAAAGGGTATTACCAGCGGGCGGAAAACACAGTAAGAAAGAAATTTGATGTAAAATGGAATACAGGACCATTGAGTAGAGGATTTGTATGGATTGTTTTTAGAGAAAAGGAATATAATTTCATGTCATTCTAAGGTAAACAAATATTAACCACCTCAGTATCAGACACCTTTACCCCTTTCCTGCCCAGGCCAATTTTCAGATTTCAGAACTGTCACACATTGAATGTCAATTACTCAGTCCCATGCAACACTGTACCTAAATAAAATTTTTTGAGGCAAATAAAGCTTTCTTTTGGTGGTATTTAAAAATAGCATGTTTTTTCCTATTTCCTTTTATAAAATTTTGCATATTTACGTTCTTTAAAAATTTATGTCAAAATGTATTCTGCTACATTTCTTTGGTAAAAATAACCCAAATCAGTGTATATTATATATTTTGTGTAAAGGTTTTAGTCTACAAACTGTGGTATACTGTATATACACTATATTGCCAAACATATTGGAACGCCTGCTTTCCACACAGATGAACTTTAATGGCCCCCCCAGTCTTAGTCCATAGGGTTCAATATTGAGTTGTTCCACCCTTTGCAGTTATACCAGCTTCAAATCTTCTGGGAAGGCTGTCCACAAGGTTTAGGAGTGTGTCTATGGGAATGTTTGATCATTCTTCCAGAAGTACATTTGTGAGGTCAGGCACTGATGTCAAAGAAGCCCTGGCTCACAGTCTCTGCTGTAATTCATCCCAAAGGTGTTCTATCGGGTTGAGGTCAGGAGTCTGTGCAGGCCAGTCAAGTTCCTCCACCCCAAACTGGCTCCTCCATGTCTTTATGGACCTTGCTTTGTGCACTGGTGCGCAGTCATGTTGAAACAGGAAGGGGCCATCCCCAAACTGTTCCCACAAAGTTGGGAGCATGAAATTGTCCAAAATGTCTTGGTATGCTGACACCTTAAGAGTTCCCTTCACTGGAACTAAGTGGCCAAGCCCAACCCCTAAAAAACAACCCCACACAAGTATCCCCCCTCCACCAAACTTTACCCTTGGCACAATGCAGTCAGGCAAGTACCGTTTTCCTGGCAATTGCCAAACCCAGACACATCCATCAGATTGCCAGACAGAGAAGCATGATTGGTAACTCCAGAGAACACGTCTCCACTGCTCTAAAGTCTAGTGGTGGCGTGCTTCATTCTACACATTCTACTACTGCTCCTGAGTATGGTGAATCACATGTGTGAGAGTTTTTTCACAGCCTAGCCATATAGAGAGGCCCAAAATCCAAGGAAGCGCCTTCAGGTGTTTCAGGGGCATCAGAGGCTTTGCATTGCACTTGGTGATGTAAGGCTTGGATGCAGCTGCTCGGCCATGGAAACCCATTCCATGAAGCTCTCTACACATTGTTGTTGTGCTAATCTGAAGGCTACATGAAGTTTGGGGGTCTTTACCTATTGACTGCAGACAGTTGGCGACTCGTGCACACTGTGTGCTTCAGAATGGGCTGACCCCACTCTGTCATTTTACGTGGCCTACCACTTGATGGTTCAGTTGCTGTTGTTCCCAGTTGCTTCCACTTTGTTATAATACCACTAACAGTTGACTGTGGTATATTTAGCAGCAAGGAAATTTCATGGATGGACTTATTGAACAGGTGGTAACCTATCATGGTACTACGCTTGAATTCACTGAGCTCCTGAGAGCGAGCCATTCTTTCACAAATGTTTGTAGAAGCAGTTTGCATGCCTAGGTGCTTGATTTTACACACCTGTGGCCATTGAGGTGATTGGAACACCTGAATCCAATGATTTGGAGGGATGTCCCAATATGTTTGCCAATATAGTGTATTGGAAAATGTATCAATTCTGATGTGCTGACTGCCTACCAGATTTCTTAAGGCCGTAAAACACCAGGACAGTACAAATAGCCCCCAAATAGCCCATATTTCGAAAGCTGACAGTCCAAGGTATTTAGTAAAAGTCATGGTTAGTTTTTTGAAGTTGTGTTTCTTTGTCATAATTATTTGGAAAATGAAGAAATTGAATAATTTTTTTTTTACAAAGTTGCCACTTTAACAAGTTATGTCTCACACACAGCATAGGCATATTTAGAATTACAACCCAATGTATGGGGATGCCACGTGTGAGACTTTTTCACAGCCTAGATGCATAGGAGCATAAATTACGCAACTAATTTCCTAACTACCTAAAACATCTTTGGAGGTCCTGGAGCACCAGGACATTGAAAAGACCCAGAAATGACCCCATTGGGGAAAGCAAACACACCAAGGCATTTTCTGAAAGGCATAGTGAGTCTTTTGAAAATGTAATTTTTTCACCACAATTTTTTGAAAAATGTATAAAATATTTCTAACACACACCATAGGCATAATTAGAATTACAACCCAAAACACATTCTACTACTGCTCCTGAGTATGGTGAATCACATGTGTGAGAGTTTTTCACAGCCTAGCCATATAGAGAGGCCCAAAATCCAAGGAAGCGCCTTCAGGTGTTTCAGGGGCATAAATTACGTAATCTAATTTCCCGGATCACCAAGACAGTATAAACACCCACAAAATGACCACATTTTGGAGAGTTATTACCCCAAGGTATTTTTAGGAAGGCATGGTAAGTCTTTTGAAGGCTTCATTTTATTGCCACGAGTTTTTGGAAAATGCAGAAAGAAAATGAAATTTAATTTTTTTACACAAATTTAGCAATCTAAGAAAATATTTCTCACACATAGCATAGGTACTTAAAATTACACCCCAAAACACATTCTGCTACTCCTCCCAAATATGGTGATTTCACGTGTGTGAGACCTTTTCACTGTCTGGACTATGTACCACACTTTGTATCTTGTGTATCACACAAATCAACCAATTGTGTCAAAACCAATGAACTGTATGAGTCACCTCTATATCAGTGGCCAGGGAATATAGCCTACTGTAGCGTCACCTATTGCAGTCTCAGTTCCTATAAGCCAAGCAAGCCTAATCTACTGATACATGACTGCACCAAGAAATGCCATGTTCACTGGCCTGGTGTCTCGCAGGATCAGTAGGATGTGCAGATGGGTCACTTCAGGCTGCAGGCAGAGATACGATCAGCAAACAAGCAAAGGATCGGACCAGGAAGCAGGCAGAATTGTGGTCAATAAACAGGCCAGGGTTAGTACAGGCATCAGGCAGAGGCAATAATGCACTGGTGTGGTAGTGATCAGAGACATGCTAGCTGCAGTGGCGGTGATCAGGGACACAGTAACTGGTGTGGCAGTGAAAAAGGACACTGTAACTGGTGTGGTGGTGATCAAGGATAATATGACTAGTGTGGCGGTGATCAGAGACTTGGTAGCTCCTGTGGCTGTGATCAGGGACACAGTAACTGGTATGGCAGTGATCAAG